ACAAACCGTGCATAAACAAAGCAAACTTTAAAATTTTACGGTTAGTTCGAGCAGAAAGTTTGGGTTTGATAACGGGTTATTGACGTCATGGACCCGAATGGTTAACCCTAAGCTTTGCACGGCTGTCAATTAAGCTTAGCTAAGATGAAATTTTACCTGGCAACATTGCTAAAAGTGACAAATTGGCTTTTGCTCCCGCCTTTTCTTTCCAAAATAACATTTATCTTAGAACTGAATGCGAGGTTGCCGTTACTGCTTACGTCTCAAATATAATTAATTCATAATATATTATTAAAGATCGAGTCATTTGAAAGTAAAAAACGTCTAATATTTATATAAAGAAAAATCTTAGACTCCCAGTTAGAAGCGAACAATGCTATGTTATGAAGAGGAGCTTCAAAACATTTTAGCCAAAAGAGAGCAGGACAAAATCATGTTCGAGTTTCAGTATATACTCTGTAATCTGTGACTGCAACTGCAAAATTATGCAATAACAGTTCTGTTTGAGGTTAGTCTTCAAATCTGTCTGGAATCTGACTTTAGGTTCCACTTAAGCGGCACTTCATCTTCCCCTTAAATTATTTGCCTGTTACGGTTCGCCTTAACTCTAGGTGACAGTGGTGCAAACGAATTCTGTCACGTAACTGTCACTATTATGTTAAGGTGAGCCTTAGGTTTACTGGTGCAAATGGCCGTAAGTTCTTAAACTGCTTTAAATACATAACATGACCTTTGAAATTGAGGGTTTTGTTACAGATAAGGACGAGGTTTTGTTTTCGTTCTAGCAAATGTCTGTTCGTATGTTAACCACTTGGAAAATTGAGTTGGAAGAAGAAATGATATAAGACGATGATATTGATGTTTTAGAAATAATTGATTATGGTTTTCCAAGGAGACAATTACTCCGAACAAATTATTTTGTTGCACTTGACAAAAAGTCTTTTTATAGACGATTTCGTTGAACAAAACCGGGCGTTTTTAAATTGCAAGAAGAAATTGGCCACCTTCTAGAATATCCCAGTATCTAAGATTTCTATGCTTCTTTCTGATTCTGGACATCGCTTTTATATAGTAAAATCGTCAGTAATTTTGTGGTACTTTATTGCTTGATTTTCTCAACAATTAATAACGGTTTTCACCGTTAATAGGTCTTTTCCTAGAAGAAAAATCGTATTCTCATATAATTTTTGGCAAATAGCCGCAATGGATCGCAGTTATATTTTCTCCCTTTAACAGGGATATTTAACACGAACGGCGGCACATTCATTGGAACACCGCGCAAAAGTTGATAACGCGAACACTAGAACACGGTTGCCATATCCATAGGACAAGGTTTATATAGAAACGACTCTTACTCTTGTGGAAAGTGTGTCGCTAAAGTGGCGCGCCCTGGTGGCTGAGAATTAAAGAACTCAAACAAACCTGCATTATGATCCCACTACACTTGCTTATTTTTAATTGTGCCGCAAGGGGCAGCAGATAATAGGGATAAATGACACAACTACACAAAAATACATATAAATATATATATTACTTGTTGTTTATTGTTTATATAAATACTTTTTACAGATAAAAAAATCTTTGAAGCATTTTTAGGAACAACTTTAAAACATACGCCTTTTGTGATAGGAAGCCGTGCATTTTCTAACAGCCTTCAAGACACCAATAAACAGCTACCATCTTCGCAGATTATTGACGATTTATGAAAACAGATAAGGAAAAAGATAATCTGAGGTTTCCGGTAGTACCGGTTTCAGCGGTGAGCAACCCGATGCTATGAACTAGCTCTAATGAGAAAAATATCCTGTTTTCCATTTATTTGTTTCTTAATGAAAATGCCACCTGAATAATAAGCTAAGTGATTTCGACTTACCCAGCAAAACATTCACAAATTACGTATTGGAGAACATGGGGAAACATATCACAATCCAGTATGTGCAGGAAGCATGAGGCACGAATACAACTTATCACAGATTATATCGTCAGAAATGAATAAAATCGGCATAGGCTTTTTCTTTGGATGATAGCGAATAATCAACATCCACAGACATCTTGTCCATGACAAACCCATAAACAACAATGGGGAAGATTTATTTGACATTTGACTTGCGTTATCCCATTCTGTAGCTCTTTATCGTCTGTAGCGCCTCTGGCGACTATGAAATCAGTCGTTCTCGGTTAGGTTTTTAAGTGAGAGTGGCCATATCATTACAAGGTTTAACTAATCCGCCGCTGAATTTTAACGGTGCATACCTGCTGGGTTCTTAAACCGGATTAACTTTTAAACGCGTTTAGTTCATCGCGATTAGGTAGCTTGGCGATGCATACGGCGGTTAATGGCGTCAATTGTTGACGTCTTAATGATGTCAATTGCAAACGTCTTTTTTATGTGAATTTAAATCAAAAATAGTACCAACAATTTTTTTTATCAGGTTTTATATAACATTTACAAAACCTCTATTTCTATAGTTTAAATGTTTTATTAAAAACAATTAGCAAACATCCTTAAAACTATGAATCAGTGGGAACGTAACAAATTTGGCAGTGCACCATTTCCAAAAAAGTGCACCACTTCCAAAAGAAAAAGCCACGCATTTAGTAATAAGCATATCGCAAGTGCGCGCGCAGCCTACTTCCACCAACACTACTAAATTAACGCAGTTCACATCATAGATAAAGACGAGTTCCGGAAGCATATGGAACCTCATCCTGACAAACCAATGGAAATGTTTAAAAGTAAAGTATTTTGAAGTCGCTTTATACTTTCACTAATTCCTAAGCCATCGTCAAAGTAGCTTTCAAATTGCCTGTTAGTTTTGTCAACTAAATGTAATTATTTAAGTGATCCATAAGTGTTTACATTATGATTATGATTTATTTTCATTTTAACAACTCCTTGTAAAGGTACTTCATTTTTCAAAAAATTATCGTTCTTATTTGTGCTAGTATTACATTTTTTAATTTCAATGTCTATACTGACAGAACAGTATATTAGTCTATTGGAATTATTTTTAGTTTTTTTTATTTGTCTCGAAATGCTGGCACACAAAATACTTGTGATATATTAATCTAAGATAATAATATTATTATTACGCATGTATAATTAATTTATATTCAACTTTAAATTATTACCTTTGAGGATTATAATATATCATACCATTTTTTATAATCCAGTTAGTGTTTCTATATTCAGAGCACTCTTGAAGCCACTCTTTAACATCTACTTCTGTTACAAAGTTACACTATTAACTCTGAATCACTTCCAGAATCCGCGGATTTAAGAAAATATTTTTTTTGATAAAATCATCTTGAATATTTCTTAAATGTAGATAAAGGTCGTGGTAAACACTTTAATAATGTTGTGTGAGTTGATTGGTACTTCCACCCTTCAATAACAAAATCGTTGGTAACATAACAATCAGCTAAATACCAAATAAGCGAATATAAATAATTGATAATGCATTTTTTTTAAATAGATAGAGGAACCAATACCAGAGAGTAATTGGTCTTTGCCAATATTGCAAAAATAAATAAGTAAATAACATTCGAGGTTTGGTTATGGTAGTTCCGCCGTTCTTATTGCTTACTTGACGTCGCAGGGACAGCCAATCACAGGAGACTATTTTCGGTCTATTCTGTAACGCTGAGGAAAGTACAATACGCTTACTGTTGATCAAAATTGTTGATTCGCTTCTTTCCAAACTATAAATATTAAAAAACCACAAGATCACTAGCAAAATCAAGTTACTACACGTGTTCTGCAAACAATAAAATAAAACCAGAGACAAGTGTATTTGTCTCTGATGCAACTATGCAACTGCTATTGACAGTGATGACTAACCTGACTAACGTCCGCCATAGATAAAGACAAGTACGCCAGCCACAAGGCGGGTTGTATTTTTTCCCGGCACCAACGGGCCTCTATCATTTGTCCACCGAACTAATTTTGTGGTCACGGCGTTTTCCATTGAGTTGTCAGGGAGGTGTGCTCTATGTTAGTGATGCCGTAATGACATTAGATGTGGTGCGGTAAATCAGGTTTTTAGTCAAAACACTGAACCTTTTTCGTCGGTATTTTTGGATTTTACGATTTTGTGTGCCTTTAACGTATTTGAGATCTGTGTAAAGACAATTTATTGGTGTGGTATATGGTTTGTACCATCTGAAATAGTTTAGGTAGGATCTTTAGCGTAGCTTCTCGGAAACATCGATTTAACTTTATCATTTTTAGGTTAAAGTTCAGCAATTCCATAGCAATAGAAAGAAAATTGGGCTACAGATTTTTCGTTTTTCTCCTAAACGTAAGAACAATACAATATTGAAGTATTATTTAAATATATTTACAAAAACAACGCGTTTCAGAGTATTAAAACAGTGAAGTGCTGTGCTCCAGACCGCAATTATTATACTATGTTTATTAACCCATTAGGCACTGAATTGAATTGGACTAAATGAGTCTTCTTCTTAGACAGTGTCCAGGGAGAGGCCTGCGGTCACTGTGAAATTTGTTGGAGCAAGAAACCCGGACAGTGGCATTCTTGCTTTACCGGGCATTATCCAGAAACTTTGTTGTAAAGTTCCGGAAATGCTCCAGCAGGTCTTCTGTGTTCAGGTCTCTTTGCAGGGTGGTATTTCTGACAAAGTACGGGGCCTTGGCTGCTATTCTTAAGATCTTGTTTTGAATTACCGCCACCTTCTTCTTTTGCGTGATGCAGGCCGTGGATCATGCAGTTGATCCATAGGTCCGCACCGGACGGATTAGCTGTTTGTAAGCTCTGACCTTTGTTCTCAGGTAGAGCTTACCTGTCAGCAGAGGATAGTAGGCCTGGAGCAGGTATCTTGCCTTCGCTGTTGTGGCTGTCATCTGGTCGTGCCATACCAGTCGCTTGTCGTAGATAAGTCCAAGATAGGTTACCTTGGACCTCCAGGGCAGCCGCTGTCCTGCAAGCTCTAGTATGGCTGGCGGCGTCTTGGAGCCCCTGGTGAAGAAAATGGCTTGCGTTTTCTCCGGGTTAAACTGCATTTTCCAGTTCCTGCTCCATTGCTGGACCTGGCCGAGATGTCTTTGGAGTCTAGTGGTTATATTAGCTCCTTTCCCTGCGGCAGTGAGTGCTACATCGTCTGCATATATGTAGCACTTTGTATTGGCGTTGGTTGGAAAGTCTGCCATGTATATGTTGAAGAGAGTAGGGCCCAACACTGATCCTAAGACTGGTTCAACTACTGGATCCCCAGTCGTATTTATGCGGTCCGGCCGTGTGAGCTCATGCGTGGGGAGTGAGCGGGGCTTCAAATGTTTTGGCGCACACACTGTTTGCAGCAAAAGGCGTTTCCAATCTGGATTAAGGGCCGTTACTTCTTCTTTCCTATTAAAATTGTTGTCATGTTTAAAGATCTCAATGGCCTCTCTGGTTAGTCTCGGGTAATACCGTTGAGATTGATGCAAAATGTCCACTTCATCGAAACATATTTGGTGATCGTCTAGAAGTGCGTGCTTCGCTACTGCTGATTGTTCTGTTTGTCCTAATCTGCACCTTTTTTTTATGCCCTGTGATCCTAGTGTTTACACTACGTTTTGTGGTGCCGATATATGCTCCGCCACAACTGCATGGAACTCTGTAGACTCCTGAGGCCCAATTCTCGAAACTGGGAACGGCGTTCACATGAGAAAGAAGGACGTGGTTCTCTCGTGAAGCGAATATTAGTATTCTTGAACGCAATCGAGTGATCCCATGACGCAACGGCAGTAGAATAAGCTCCTATTGCCAAATCTCGAGGGAACGCATCGTTCACCGGTTTTATAACCACACACTACACAGTTTTTCGCGTAGGTACCCGGTTAGAAACGTGGTGTAATTTCGATTCAAACTCGAGTAGTGAATTTCTTAAATTAACTTGACTTTTTACAGTGTTTTTAAAATAATGGGCAATTTAAGAGATTTCCTAACAGGGAGTAGAGCGGGCTTGTAAAGAATTATTCTCAACAATCTTCAAGGGAAGTTTTTGTGTTGGGAATCGTGTCTTGTAGTAGAAACTATTTTGGTATTACTGAATTTACTTGTAGATGTAGAGGAACAAAAAGAAAATCCTCATCATCAAATAACACTTACGGCAAAACAATATTTTTCTAATGGGAACAGAGGTGGTGAATCGAGATAATATAGATCTGAAAACAATATAGAAATAGTAATTGAGTAACCAGTTCAACAATAAATAGATGTAATTGATCATTATAAGAATAAATGAATGAATACAGCCAAATGTATATTCTCTTATATGAAGCATTAACAGTTTTTGAATTTAGAGAGATATTAAAGAAAACCAGTTTAATATTGAGGAAGGTAAATACATTTAAAAATATAATATAAAAAAGGTAAAGTCAATATTATAGAAGATCAATATTCAAATACGGTCGAAGACGCTGCTCTGTGAGAAACACTCCACTGATAAATAATTTAAAACACTAGCACCTAGTAACAGGCACTAATTGCTCATAATTTTGATTTTGAATTCAAACAAACTAACCCAAACTAACCCAAACTAATGGTACCGCAAGATACTTTTCGGCCCAAAAATTCTAGGAATCTTAGAGGGCTCTCGGAAGCTAGAACAAAAGCATCGGCCTCACATGTGTTCTCTTGCAAGTCCGCGGGAGGTGCTCATTCAAACGGTCTTCAATAATATTTCACAAGTTTATGCTGATTTATTCGAGTCTTCTAATATATTTCTGTTCATCTGGTATAACAGCTTTAAGCTTTAGCTGGTATAACATTTTTAATATTTTATTTGCCAATTTTTTGACCGTTAGATAAATCTTCGTCTCTTTACCTTAAATTTGAGTCGAATTTCTCTGATAAAGTTGTTGGCAACAACGCTTTCCGTGAACGCTTCTCACATCGTTTCCTATGCATTCGAGAATACGGTTTTCGAACCATATGAGAAAGGACTGGGACCGTTCACGTTCTCTCGAACTCGAGAATTGGGCACCTGGTGCTGATAAAGGATCCCGTTTGTCCTTGGCCGATCTCAAAGTGTGTTGGATTATTCGAGTTGGTTTAAAAACTTTTTGACTTTGTGTTTCTCCAGTATCCTGCCGATCCTGTCCGTGACTCCATGTATGTATGACAGGCAAGCCCAACCCTTACGCTCATCATGCGTATCTGTTTTCTCCGGACAACCTCCACTGTTTCTTGGTCGAATTGCCCTATTAAACTCGTTCTTGCTGTATCCATTCCATCCAAATGCCCTTTCTTGGTGTTTCAATTCTCTTTCTAACTCAGATGGTTCGCAAATTCTTCTGGCTCTTTCGGTGAGGGTTCTAATGACTCCTTTCTTTTGACTGGGATGATGGTTTGATCCACTGTGCAGGTACCGGTCGGTATGTGTCGGTTTTCTGTACACCGTGAGGTCTAGCTTTCCGTTGGTTTTTCTGGTTAGCAAGACATCTAAAAATGGCGGACGCCCATCCTTCTCCACTTTTATAGTGAACTGTATTTATGGGTTTATTGAGTTGAGGTGCCTCAGGACGTCTTTAAGTTCAACCAAACCATGGCCTCAAACAACGAAAGTGTCATCAACATATCGAAACCAACACTTAGGTTTCCTCGCGGCTGTGTCCAGAGCGTTCATCTCTAATTTCTCCATAAAGTAGTTGGCTATCGCCGAACTAAAGGGGCTGCCCATTGCTACTCCATCCGTATGTTCATAGAATTCGTTTTCCCACTGAGAGTAGGTTGTGGTTAAGCAGTGTTCGAACAGTTTGGCGATGCCTGGTGGAAATTCTCTCTCAATAAATTCCATTGCCTCCCTGATTGGTACCATTGTGAACAACGAAACAACATCAAAACTCACAAGGATTTCTCCGGGAGCTAATGACAACGAGTGCAACCTCTGAGCAAAATGAGATGAGTCCTTTATAAAACTGCCAGTTTTTCCTATTTTGAGCTGTAAAATGTATTTATTTATTTAATTAATTAAACCAGTCTAATACATAATGCATAGCACATAGTAATTACATGTCTAGGCTTATCCTCAGGATACCCAGGCAACCCAAACATCCTACAGAAGTAGTCATCTACTTGTACATAGGACCAGTTATACAATAATAACTACTTAAAACTACTTAAATCTAAGCGTCCAGGATCCAAATCCCGGCTGAGAACAAAAAGAACAAACCAAAAGAACGAAGAACAGTCAACCAGTATTGCCAATACATATTTATGTGATAGTTATGATGTTAAGTTGTTACGTATCCAATTATTTACAATTTTTTTATGATGATTTTTTGCAATGTTCATTGTTTTTAGATTCGGGTTCTTATTTGAGAGAGACTTATATATCTGTATTGCCTTGATACAGTTGTTTTTATTGCTTACAGTTATGGAACGTTTCGGTTGAGTTATAAGTTTATTTCTAGTTCTACTATTGGATGTTTCATATAAACCTTCAAACCTTTTAGTTCATCATAATGATAAATTAGGCATTCATACGCGAATATTTGGTTTAGATTTAGAGGCTTGTCACTTTTTTTATTCACTATTTTTAATATTCTGTGCTGTATCTTCTGTAAAGGGTTAAGATTATTTTTATATGCACCAGCCCCAAGCAATATTTCCATAGCTAATAATACTATGGAAAAATGCATAATATATCATTTTAAGTGTATCCGATCGCAAACATTTTGATAATTTAAATATCATATATATCCAATATTTAGTTTTTTTTTAATACATGTTCAATATGTTTATCCCACCTTAGATTAAAGTCAAAAACGATTCCTAAATATTTGCAATGTTCCACCCTACTCAGCCCAATACCCTGAATGCTGATGCACATATCACTAGGTACACTATCACAATAATTTTCTCTCAATAACTCTTGTTAGATATTTTGCAATATCATAAGTCGGACTTCCAATAGCGCTCACAATGGGTCTCAGTGGTACATCCGATTTATGGATCTTGGGCAGTCCGTAGTGCTTCTGATTTTTTTTTGAGTTTGCCAACTCCTCGGACGGAAATGTCATGTTCTTAATTAATTTGTTGATTGTCCTTAGTATCCGTGCCGTCGGATCTCGTGCCAACTTCTTGTTCGTTGACGGGGTCAAAAGCTCTTTGATTTTGTTCTCGTAGTTCAATGATATCAGTATGTTTAAGTTCAAGTCAAGTTCAGTCAGTTCAATGTACAGTTGCAGTGCCCTTATCAGCTGGCAAAACGAGAATCTCCTTATCCTCGTTGAGCGTTTTCAAAGCTTTTCTTTCTCTGAAGGTGAGGTTGCTCTTCGGAGGCTTTGAACGTTGTAAAATTCGTGTTGTCTCAGCCCTTGTCTGCTCCGCGGTTTGAATAGGCAGCGAACGTATTCCACTCTCTACATTTGCTATGATGTCTTCTACAGGTAGCCTAAACGGTACTATGGCAAAGTTTCCTCCCTTGGTCAGCACGCTTTGTTCGTCGGCAGTAAGTTCTTTGCTGGTCAAGTTAACTACAATCTTCCGTTGGTTCTCCTCGGGTGATGGTCCTGTTTTGCTGGATCGGTGAAACCTTTCCGTAAGTGCATCAAACTTTTTCTTTTGGCGATTGACTGCTGCTGCTTCGGCCACCATCGTCCGTTCAGTTGTTAATCGATCCACCTTTTCCAATAGGTCCAGTGCATTTTGTTGGCTAGTTCTATGTTGACCGGTAAAAGCCTATTGTCAATACGTGCAAGATCTCGGCGGGTCATATATGATGGCTATTTACAAGAACTGCTAAATCTGCTATTTCCTTTTTTAACCTTTCGTTTTTGTTACACATTCGATTATGATTAGTTTTGCTTAAGAATCTAAAGCAATTATCAACCACATTATGCTCATTTTCATACAACGTTTAAGGATGCGATTTAATAATATTATTGTTTATTAATACAACAAAATGAATGTGTTTGCATAGAACATAATTTATATAATGGTCTTGACAACTGCAACTGTACTGATGAACACAAATTTTGCAAAACTCGCAGTCTAACATACAGCACTTATTTAATACATGCGTTTTTTTGTATAACAGTGTAGTGGCTATCATCACTAATTATTGTCCAATTTGCAATATCTACACAACCCAAATTAAATGATGAAGATACAGCAATATTATATCCATGTCTTCTATGATAATTCTGTTTTCCTTGGTATGCTTAATCATTCTGTCCCCAATTTTATCGCGTATACACTTTAAAATAGCATGCAGACCTTTGTCTAACCGTTTGACTGTCACGTAATCGTTCTAAACCAATAAGATTATGGAATGTATGGCTGTTTTTAACGCCTCGTTGTATGGCTTTTAGGTCCAGTTTCGATGAAAATAGTAATAGTTTGCGTTTACAAAATAAACAAGGGCCACTCTTTTCACATCTCGACACTTGTAGCCCCTTTTCACACTTATTAAAGTATCTTCGGTAAAGTCTATCACACTCTTCTCTTCTATTGCCACCGTCAAGATGGCAACCCAAATGGATGAAAATATAAATACTGAAGAGCTCATTTCTGAAATTGAAAACTATCCAGCTATTTGGGACATATCTTGCAGTGACTATAGCAATAAACATTTAAAAAAGAATAGCTGGGAGGCAGTGTTGGTCAAATTTTATCCAGATTTTGCAGAAAAAACTTATGCGGAACAGAATAATATAGGTAAGTTTTATTCATATAAAGATGCTAGAATTAAATGTTATGATACTGAACATAAGATCCTGAGATAATAGCTTTCATATCTTCTTCAGCTGCCAGGGAATCTCGCCTTGCTTACTTACAAAATAATTCGCAAATTTTTCTCTTATATCATTCAATGTACTTCCCCCCTCTTGTTGCATCAGGTTTCATCATATCGCGAAATCCTTCAAAACCATCAATGTATGTTCAAAATTGTAGTCATCTTTTTTTCTAACGAATTTATGTAAAACACAAGACGCTTGTACAATGAACTCAGCAAGATCAACTGTAACGTTTCCCAGCAAACCAAATCTCGTAACACTTACATACATATTATGTAACAAAGTCACACGGAAGCAACAGTTTACGTAAATATCTTTTCACAAACTGATGCACCAACTGTGCATTATGTCCGCCTCAAGCCTCCGCCTAATTTGTGACTTTATGTAGTGTATGTACTTTATGTTATGTAAATAAATTGAATAATATTCACAAACTTTTACATTCTGTGTGACTGACCTCAGGATTAATACAAGGTTAATCAATTGTCTCGCATAAAATTAATTTAAGCGATTTGTTCTAAAAATGCGTAAATACGGAACTTTGTTGAAATAACTGTTCAACACTTGGTTTTACCATTAACTTTTTATTTACCTCCTCTGCCTACTAAGTAGAAACCACTCTGATATTGCAGTTTCGACATAAGATTCGACGGCTCCATGATGCTGTAGTATTACTTATCTGCAGGTGAGAATAAAAATATACAGGGTCCGTCTTTGGGAGCTTACACTAGAAGTATTCGCCAAATAGAAACTACCAGAGTTCTGAAACTTTCAATACAAGGTAATGATGTTGAGGCTAACTCAACTAAAATATTTTCAAGGTGGTACCACTTTCGGTTATACCGGAAGTAGGTACTTACTCGCTTCTTTTAAATGGAATACCCCGTATATTATTACATTTTTGAGTTCTCGGTCGGATTTTTGGTTCATTTTGTTAAATGAAACGGGTACGAAATTTCAACCGTTGTGGAATAATATCCATTTTTCCAAAAAAATTGACAGGTGCAGGCTTGGAAATAATTTGTTGTTCCGCCTATTTGGGTCAATCAATTTCAATATAACTTTAGCTTGGTAGCCAAAGGTGCCATGTCTCAATGTGCAAAAAATAAGTTTTGCATCTTACACAAAAGAAGTTATAGAAAATTAAACTTGACTGTCAAAAAAGCCATATTACCCAACAAATTCAAATGGAAACCCCAATTTTTTCTATTCAGATCGATTTAGTGACAAAAATTAAAGAAATTTTATAAAAAGGTTTATGAGGCTATACGTAACAGTTTCATAGTTATTTTCAATAAACTACCAATTTACTACAATTTTTTATTACTTGTTCAATTTTTAATTACAATAAATGTTCAAAATGTTGTCTGTTAGATGCAAGGCATTGTTGAACACGCCTTGTAACAGATCCATTTGTGACTCTTTGAATCTCTTCAGGGGAAAGAGAGTTAAAGGCATTTCGCACCCGTGCAATGCAATCTTCCTTGGTCGTTAATGGTGTAGCCTAAACAAGATCTTTAATTCGACCCCAAAGATAAAAATCCATGGGCGTAAGGTCAGGTGATCTAGGTGGCCATTGAAAGGGACCGTTATTGGCAAACCAACGAATTTCGTAAAGTTTTATGGAAACGGCATTGGTGTTGTGAGGGTGAAGTTTGGAGTTTCTTGTATTTTTTTTTAAATAGTCTCACAGAAAGAAATGCGTTTTATGAAATCGGCTTCTTTCAAATGTTGAACTAGTTGCAAACAGTACGGTCTAAATTTATGTTTTTTAAGAATCCTCCTGATGGTCGCCGTTGTCAAACCAATCCCAACTTTCGCGTCGTTTATGGAATTATAGGGATATGCACGGAAATACGCTAAAGTAGTTATCTCATTTGGCTAGTTATCAACAGCAGTTTTTCTTCTGGATGCAGAGTATTTAAATGTGCCAAACTGTTCCAAATTTCGAACCAGACGTCTTACAGTATCCGCTGATAGTCGGGGACGCTCTGGATAGCGTTCTATGACATTCTCCGTGAATTAGTATTAAATTTAAATAATCTTGATTAGAAAATCCCAGTCGAGCCATTGCGTCAGATTAACACAAATTTATAAAATTTACTGGAACTGACAACTTTGAATGACAACTGCCTCTCCTGATGTATGTATGTAATCGTGTTTTTTAGCTCAGATATAAAAATTGGTAGTGTATTGAAAATAACTATGAAACTGTTACGTTTAGCCTCATAAACCTTTTTATAAACTTGCCTTAATTTTTGTCACTAAATCGATCTGAATAGAAAAAAATAGGGGTTTCCATTTGAATTTTTTGGGTAATATGCCTTTTTGACAGTCAAGTTTAATTTTCCATAACTTCTTTTTTATAAAAGATGCAAAACTCATTTTTTGCACATTGAGACATGGCACCTTTGGCTACAACAAGCTAAAATTATATTCAAATTGATTGACCTATTAAGGCGGAACAACGAATTATTTCCAAGCCTGTACCTGTCATTTTTTTTGGAAAAATGGATATTATTCCACAACGGTTGAAATTTCGTACCCAGTTCATTTAACAAAATGACCCAAAAATCCGACAGAGTTAGCCCCAACATCGTTACCTTGCATTGGAATTTTCAGAACTCTGGTAATTTTGGTCTGACAAATACTTCTAGTGTAAGCTACCAAAGACGGACCCTGTATGTATTAACAGGATTTAAATCTTCAAATGCAAAATCTGACATTACAAATCTCACCATATAAATGGATACATAGCAATTAAAATTTTGGTAACACTTAGCCCGTCAATTTTGAAACTGTTATTTCCGTGGTCCTTCCACGAACAAGGATTTATCGGCCTCAACAAGGGGCTCGGGAACCGATGCAACGTGAAGTTCAGTCTTGGGTTTCACCAAATCCAAATTACGGCTTTGAAATACAGGTGATTCAAAATTTACGTCATTCGTCTGGAGGTGTTGTCTGGGGGTGTCTCGGGAGTACAGAGAAAATAGTAAAAAAAACTAACCGTTATTGAAAACTCAGATATTTGCAAAAAACTAGATTAGAACGATGGCAACAATGTTTTTCAAGGTAATCTGCATAATTAACATTTTGTAATAATCTCCGGTAACCATGGATAAACATGAAGCAAAGAAAATAAAACAAACAATAACATGCGTTAAGGTTAGGATAACGGTGTCACCTTGCGGTCAATGCTGCGACAAAACAGCCCCCCCAGTGCTGCCATCTTTTTGGGGCAAATGAGTGATATATCTAAATAGGCCACAACTGTCATCCAAAACCACCTGTTAAAGGTTATGTATCATTGATAAAATAAAATACAATTCTGTTGTTAAAACACAAGAAGTATTCCCAAGAGCAAGAAGTCCTGACCGTTTCACTCCAAACATCTTTGTGTCCCAATTACTTTGAGTCTGTGCTCATATTTTGAGCAGCTTTACGTGTTCGGTTAATTAACTGCTGCCGCTGCTGCTGCTGCTGCTGCTGCTGCTGCTGCTGCTGCTCAATTTGAACCGGTGTTCCGAAGATCAGAGATTTAATGTGTTCTAGTGTCCTGTGCATATTACATACATGGTAGGAATGTAGGCCCTTCCTCGGGGGAGTTATCGGGACAATTAAGTATCCGGTGTTGGAGAAAGTGCAGTTGTTCTTCAATGCTTCAAGTACTCCTGGAAGGTTCAGCTGCAATAATCTCCAATACCTGTTCTTCTAGGTCTGGAAACTGAGCACCTTTAGATTGTCCACTATCTGCGTCAATTTCGCGCCACTCGTCTAGTGTTTCGCCCTTTGCTGGTGTAAGTTCTTACAGCTTCTGCTATGTTACTGTGGCATTTTTCCATAACTAATCGCATATTCGCAAATTCGTTGTTGGTTTACATTTTCTGAAAGGAGCTTCAAAATAAGCCACAGTTTGACAAATGCTTGTTATTATTGACAAGGCTGTCTACCTGTAACTATCTGTTAATGACAAAAAACATCATTGCCGCTTTGACTTTTCATCAAAAAATTGTAGGAGAGTACTTTTTTAATATCAGAAATTTTTTTAATTTGACAAAAAGATCGTCATTTTTCTTTTCGAGTGCTTAAGTATTCCAATAGGCTCAAACATGGGACCCTTTCAAAATAATGCTTAATAACAAAGTTGAAATTCAATCTTCAGCTGTTAATATCTTCTTGAAATTTTCGAAAAAAAATCAAAATTTTTTACCATGTACTCTCTAAGTGGGCCCCTATATACGCGAAATATACCCTATATATAAGAAATAACGCCAATTTTGAATCACCCGGTATATATTGCTAGAATCTTTTATTTTCAACTTCTTATTGGAAATTGAAAAACTCGTGTTAGCTAAAATGGCTAAAATA